GGTCAGAATGATCAATTGATTGGTTAATTACTTCTACAAATTGGTGTTTATCTCTGTGACTGCACAGATCTGTGCAGATCTTTAAAGTGATCTATCCTTGCCTAGTTTTTTTAGGTCTTTCAATAGTGTACCCATCGCCATATATAAGTGAGTCTTAACTTTCCTCCTAAGGATCCTCGTCTTCCTCCTTTTGCCTTTGCAACATAAGACTTTCCTGGGGAACTAGATCTTCACATAATATAAAGTAAGAGACATTGAGCCTGGTCCTTTGTGCCTTGAGTGAGAATAATTTGATATCTTTGATGATTATTTGTTTATTTTCTTGGCTGTTCACAATATTCTCAGAAGTCTTGAGGAACACAAAGTTCAAAATATCAGTACACTTTTTATCCCAAGTCTTCAAAATCCAACCTTTGCTTCAATAAAGTGTCATGGCAAAACTCTTGTCTGCATGAGTCTTATCTTTATAGACAGATACATCCTGATACCTGCATATCTTTTCCAACACCTTCATTGTTATTTTTCCAAATTTTGCTTGCAATTTGTGTCTTGATTGCTGATTATTACTGATAGTCTAAAAAGCAGAGGTCTCCACAACTTCAATATTTTTGTCAGTTCCAAGCTTGATTGCTATTTTCATCTTCATTATATCTAACTGTCCCATTTTTTAATTTTAATGTTTTATTGTGCTTGTGGATCATTTGCATTTTTAGTGTTACAAGTGTCACAGTGCAGATAATTAATCCTGTATTTTTTCATCCAGTTTCTATTCCAGGTTCTCTCAGTATATATTCCACATATATTTGTAGACTCAATAAGTAAGGAGAGAATATACAACTTTGGGTCAAAATGGAACAATTTCAAATCCTTGTTATGTGGGTCTTTCCTATTGTCACTAAACAAAAAGCCCTACAATATGTATTTGATATGGGGGGGAAAACAAGGGATCTTCAGGCAGATAATGAAACTACAAGAAGAAATTTTACTGCTGAACGGAACATTTAAGTTTCACTTCCTTCCCTTGAAAAAAACCTGTAACAACAATGTTTGCTGGAGACATTGGGGGTATAGCTCAGTGGTAGAGCATTTGACTGCAGATCAAGAGGTCCCTGGTTCAAATCCGGGTGCCCCCTACTTGTGCTTTTTTTTTTAAAAAAAACAAACTTACATTTAATATACACAGTAATGCTCACTAATCAGAATTTAGTAATAATATATAAATAAATGTGTACAAATTCCATAACAATCTCTGGAACTCTGAGATATGCATATTATTTTAATAGCTTTACCATCTCAAAGTCCACTTCCTTTCTAAGCAGTCAAAATAATTAATTCCCCAAGACAACAGTTCTTGTTCCTTCTGCCTCCCTGATGTTTTTATCGGAAAAGAATGAAAGAACCAATTAAGCACTTACATAATCAGATCATCTTTCTTCTTGGCTATGATTTAGTGCCTGTACTGTTTACATGCACGAACTGAGATTCCTTATATGTGTGCTAAGTTGTCCATGTGAAGCCATAAGAACAGCTCTCTAGGTAAATTGCAAAGCAGTAATCAGCACATGATGGAAAAGACCTTTCCCCATGCCCTCCTCTTTTTCATTTCAAAGGATTCCACTCCATCTGCATCTATCAGGAAGCTGTGATTTCTCACAATTGCAAGATAGACCACATGATTTGTATTGTGTTGGCTTAATTGTTTTGTGCTTCAACACCCAAACAGCTAAGCAGGCAAAATATCCACCAGTCATAGAATTTCTTCAGGAACAGCATAGGTCTAGTTACAAGTTTCTTTACTTTTGGTTTCCTGCCTAATCTCCTCCTAAGCTCCATTTTGACCATACACATAAAATGCATCATCACGAAATAGATGAAAGCATGTAGAGAGATGGGTCAAGCAGCACATTGATTGAGGACTAAGGGTAGGTCTGATTGCAGGACTTCCTTATCTCCTAGGTTCCATTTTGACTACATCTGCTACATAAAATAATTATAGCAATGTCACAATCATGAAAGAGGTCAATCTCACAAAGGAGACACTACAAGGTATCTGTTTATTTAGAATTTTCCTCCTCTTCCTTTTCTTTATAAAGGAAATGAATGCTTTCTTCTGAAGGAGAGAGAGGAGGAGGAATATCCGTCCAGCAATGTACTGTTTCAGCTTTGTGGGAAAATCCCTTAATGTGGAATGAAAGCTGTCACTGTAGTGCTAACAGAGTAATCTAGCCCTACTACATGATAACCATTTTAATGTACTGGTCAATGATTTTTCCACAGAAGATGTTCCTAATGTTGATACATGGTAGGGAGCTGTCTGCACACTGTTGGTGCACGGTTGCTGAACTAACTCAAAGGGACCTTCATACTAAAAGATTCACCTCTATCCCTCTTATACAAATTTGAATGACCACAAATACAGTGCTGCTGTGTCTGGCTCTTTAGAGTCAAAAGCAACACGGTAACAGTCTGATTGCAGATGGAAGGAGAGAGATCATGTCACATAAGGCTAAAACGAATCACAATATTTACATATTATACTTGCAACTTTGGTCCAATTATTTCATTTCCAAATTTCACCTATGAAAATTTTCTGATTTTTCTCAATACCCAGAGGCACATTCTGGATGAGTTGCCATCTAGATTCATTTAAAGGTTACAACAGTCTAGTTTTCTTGGCAAAAATAGAGCACTTACATGTCATTATTTTCTTCAAGCTTTGATTTTTGGTAAGCTTATACCTGTACAGTTTCACCTGTCTTCATTTTTGGATTGTAGGAAGTTAGCACCCACCCCTCTCCTAGAAAAATGAAATATCCTGGGAAATATTAAAAAGGCAGAATATTTCCCCTAAAGAGTAAAGTAGAAACTCAGAGAAGCAGAAATTCAGACACCACCACCCCGACCTTTGCTAAGGGGCCATTAAGGCCTAGGCCAGAGTATTCTGCATAATAAAGTGTCTACCTATCTCAACCTGGCCTGGGAAGATTGTATCAGCCAACACTCAGGTGAAGCCATGTGGTCCAGACAAAGCCTACAAAGTTAGCTAAGACCCACCGCCCACCCCAAGAGAGTCTGACAGCCAATGGGATATATTTCTTACACAGGAACAGGAAACACTAAGATGGGGCCCACAGAGGTTATATAAGGGTCTCTCAGCACCTTGGTCTTTCCTTCTTGACCTTCCCTTCTCACCTTGAAGTATGTGATCATCCTTTCTTTTTCACTTTGGAGCTCCAAGCCATGTGGTCCTGCTAACCACCATTAAACCATCTTTCCAAATAGCCTCCATGTTTCCAGTTCTTTTTCCCCACTTGGAACTGAACCCAGAAAGATATTTCAACAGGATATTCCCTTCCTCTGTTGACCTTACCAGCAGGAATGACCCTACAAGCATATATCTTCTCATCAACATCACTGTCCTATCATGGAACCTACCGGACTATGCCACTAATTTATTTCCATGGGAAGAGGGAATGGTGTAGTAAAACACAAAACAAAAACAACAGAATTGAGATTATTGGTTTATAACAGTTTCATTGAAATGCATCTTCTAATATGAACAGGTAACATATATAGGGAAATAGTTGATTCAGATATTCATGATAATGTATATGATGGTAATGTAAACGTCAGACAAGGTCATTTAAGATTCTCTAAATATTTTTCCCTTTTGGAAGTTGAAGTGGCCATTAACAAGTTACATCAGGGTCTTACCACTGCTGAATGAAAGTCCTATCCTTGAATTGGCAAAAAAAACCACAGCAATTATCAACATTATATTTGTTGACTGTATGTTAAGTCTATGTCTTTTCTGAGAGACTACTGAATGCTTTCAAAAGTAATGTTAACAGTGTTGCCAATTTCTATAAATGGGAACTAGCATTTTAATTATTTCTCCAAATGTTGGCACAACTCTGCAAATATGAACTCAGCAAAGTATAGCTTGATCCAGTATATGAAGATTATAGGAAAATAATATCTAAGCAATATATGCTTGTGTGTGGCAGAAAATGTGATTGTTTTCAGCAGAATTCTGCAATTATGCACTCTGGAATGCATTATTTTACATAGTTAATTTTAAGATCATGCTGCAATTATTCTAGCAGTTATTTTGTAATGAAGCAGAATTGTGGCTTAAGAGTTATGGAAGTTGTAGCTTAGTACATCTGGAAGGTTAAAGGTTAGAGAAGACAGATTCTTGTCAAAAGTGAATGATTTTATTATCTGTATTGCATGTATGTGTATTTTCTTTCAGTAATGCTGCTGATTTCTGTGAACAGCCTAAGCAAATAAGATTCAACTTGGTCAATAAATGCTTCCTTTTCAAACTCAAATGGTTGAAACTGTAATTTTTATTACATTTACATGAAAGTGGTAGTGATAATGGGTAGTATAGATGTAAACAAAAATCTGTGCAAAAGGCAAACCAGGAAACGACCCAGTCTGGAAATACTTGGATGAACAATAGATGTTAGCTAACATTCAGATATAACTTCATAGGAGGTTTTTGTCATACATTAATATTAGCAATAAGAGATATTGAATACATGGAGAGGACTATTTATTACAAAAATTTGAATGAGGGAAAACTCCCTCTCTATATATTTCTGAATGGTTTCAAGTTCAACCTGCAGTTGTTCAAGAGGAATTTACTGACTCAATCAGCTGCTAATTCCTCTACAATCTCCCAATTTACACTGTACACATTATTTTCATATAGAAAGAAAACGTGAGTTAGAATCCAAAGAACTGTAGAATTGGTTTTGCAGAAACTTGAAAGTGTTTCCGAATCAGGTAGGTAATGGGTAGGGGAATTACTATCAAAGACACCAAGGGCCAGGGGTTATTACTGTAATCGTGGGCCACTGTCACTTAATTATCCACATGAGTTTTGGTACAAGTAGTCCTTGACTTACAACCATTTGTTTAGTGACCATTAAGTCACAACAGCGCTGAAAAAAGTGGCATTTTTCACACTTAACAATTGCAACAGCCCCATGATCACATGATCAAAATACGGACATTTTGCAACTGGCATGTATTTATGGGGACTGCATGGCAGTGTCCTAGTGATTATCTTTTACAATATTCTGATAAGTCAACGGGGAAATCAGGTTCACTTAACAACTGTATTACAAATTTAACACCTTCAGTGATTTGTTTAACAAGTGTGGCAAGAAAAATCGTAAAACGGAGAAAGACATCTAACATCTGCTTTGCTTAACAACATAAATTTTGGGCTCAATTGTGATCTTAAATCGAGGTCTATTTATATATAACTCCCTCCTTTTTTTCTTGGCTGTTAACTATAATTAACAACAAATGCCACAGTCAAAATATTTCTGATTGCTGACAAAAAGTACTAACAATAACACTATGTCCTCCTTCCCAGTTCTACCGCTCCAGCACGAGTATATCTCAGAGTCACTAATCCAGATGAAAGTCTAGAACAGTGGAGGTGGCGCTTCTATCATCCTCAGGATAACAGACATTGTGCCAAATCATCAACGCTGCTCAATACTCAACGACGAAGAGGAAGCCCAGAGCCATTTACGACAACGCGCCCCCTGCCCTCTTCCCCTTGCTCTCAAATTGTAGACTGCTCATGCAGAAAGCCTTCCGACCCAGAAGGAACTCGCTCCGCCTCCGAAGCCAGGGCTGCCTCGCGCAGCACGCTCACGTGCTCCTCCGCCGCGGACAAGGATTGGTCGATCCAGTCCATGCGGCTGGGGAATTGGCAGACATGCCGCGTGATCAGCACCAAGTGACTCACCGAGAGCAGCAGCGCCGTCGTCCTGCAAAAGAAACAGGAATTGGGGCGGGGCTGATGAGCGAAGGCCCGCCCTTCCTACCCCGCTGCCAAGAAGCCTTTTTCAACTTTTTTTTTGTATTTAAGGCGCGCATGGGCGTATGTTCAATTTGTTAAAGTGAAAGATATTGTAATATTAATATTTAATTACCGTATTTGTTTATTCAGTTTGATGCTGTCTGATTCTAAGTGACTATTTAACATTAATATGATTACATTTTTAATGCAGCTCTAGTACTTTTTCACAGAGCCAGTTTGATGTTAAGGCTTCAGACTGGAAATTGAGAAACTGAATTCTAGTCCAACTTTAGATTCAAAGGTAGCTGGGTGATCTTGCACTAATCAAGGAAGCAACTGCAAACCACTTCTGAAAAAACTCACCAAACTTACAGGAAAGCAGGAAAGATTGAACGGAAGAAGAAAAAAACTAGTTTGCAGCGCAATCTCCACAAGCCAGTCAAACGGGAAGAGCTCTTTGCTCAGTGAAAAATAGATGGTGTGAAATGTAAGGCTGATGACGTAAGGCTCATAAAGCAAGGATATCATGAAAGATCTCTTCCGGATCATAATAAAGTGAACTTGGTTTCTAAATGGAAATCCATTTTTTTTAGATGGAAATTAAATGAACTACCGTTAGGAAAAGAAATAATAGTGGAGGGTTGTAAAAATAAATTCAGAGAGGTTTTTGAAAATAATCTTAATAAAGGTAAGCATGATTTGGGATGGAAGCAAAGCTTTCATGAATTATTACTTCATATGACTTAATAGCAAATTCTCTAATCCATGGACAGGTCTTTCTGTCATGGCTTTCTATTGTAATGCTGAGCATGTATCTTTCCATGGCTCTTTGTGCTACCTGTAGCCTTGTATCAATTGTGACAAATGAAAGTATACAATATCATCAAGAGAGTAAAAGAACTGAAATGCAAATGGACTGGTAAGAAGAATTGATGGCAGGTAGTCAAAGGTGGTCATAGAATGGATTCCATTTAATAAAAAGCATCCATGAAAGCAGCCTAAAACAAGATGGATTGATGAATATGTTAAAATATGAAATGAAGTTAAGATAAGATAAGATAGAAAGATAAGATAAGATAGGAGAAATTATATTGTCGGAGAGAATTTCTGTGATAAAAATATTTTGCCTAGAATGATATTTTTGTTACAGACAACACTATTTTTGACAACTGATATACTATTTTAAACTGGCAAAAGGATACATCTAAGTTTGCATGTCAAAGGAAAAAAACAAGACTTACATTAAGTTGTTTCAAGAAGCAAAGGAAAGAGAAGGATTAGGTTATGTTATTTGATATTGTAATTTGCAGTTTACTATTTGGATGGGTGTTGAGAAATAGAACACCTTTAGAATTAAAAGGACATGACCTAGATTTGAGTGGTGCAAATATTTGTTGTATGATAAAGTTCAGTTTAATGTCAGTTTTAAAAATCACTATTAGATGTGCCACATTGAGAGTATGGAATAGATACAAATCCAGGTTGCACCCCAAAACATAAAATAAGTATTTTACTTATGCTGAGAAATAATAGGCAAACACAAATGGTTAACATAGTGTGAGATAATAAAATTCTGTCAAAGGAAATACAAAATTAAATTTAAAGAAAAACTTATGACACAGGGACCTAATTGTCAATAGTTTTCCTATTTATGATTAATCAGAAAGATTCAAAATAGCTAAAATAATGTATGGTACTGAATGTTCTGTTTGAAATAGAATTGTGTCCAAAGATGAAAATATGATTGCTAAAATATGTAGACCTTTATTGGAATATGAAAGAGGAAGAACAAGTGAAAGAATGTATGTTAAAACAGGCTAAAAAAATTATTATAATATACAAATAGAACAATGGGAAAATGATGAAGAAATTAATATTTACACTATGGTATAATCTTAAAGAGAACTTTCATAAAATGATGTACCATTGGTATGTGACACCTGAAGAATTGTCTAGCATGTATAAGGCATTTCAAATTTATATTGGAAATGTGAACAGCAAGAAGGGTAATTTTATTATGAACATGTAAAAAGCTAAAAAAAATGGATTCACATATGGTACGTATACTGATTCAGAGGATTTTGAAGATTAGTGTATAATTGAGACCTAACGTTTTTCTCTTTGGACTAACGGATAACAGTTGGGAAAAATTATGAGTCTTTGTTTTTGCATAGAATAACCATAGCAAGATTTGTATGCAAATAATGGAAAGATTTGGAAATACTTACAATGGAAAAGTGGTTGATGAAGATGATAGAATTTGTTGAGATAGTCAAATTGATTTGCTTGATTAGAAAAAAGGCACTATCTGAATATTTATTTCTGAACGAAACTCTTCATCAACTTTTAGTGTAAAAAAAAAACTTATGACCTGGTTTTGATGATTAGACAGAATAGATTATAGAAATAATAGAGTGGCAAGCTAGCTTTAGAGAGAGAGATAAATTTATAGCTGTAGTTACGATTCCTGTAAAGAAGATTGGAAACCAATTCTTAATATCTTTTTCTTTTCTATTTTTCTTCTGCCTTCTTTCTTCTTTTTCCCTTTCTTTATTTTAGTTTGTATTGACTTTTACTCGTTTTTAAAACTTAAAAACTTATACTTAAAAATAAAAATCTATTTAAAAAAAGATTGCACTGATTAAGGGAAGCCTTTCTAAAGGCGATGAGACATGTTGAAATACATTCCAAAAGGAACTTGATGAAGAACTCCCGAAGGACCACATATGCAGACATCCTAAAATGTGGGAGTGAAAGCAAGGGAACATTTCTCCAAGAAATATATTGTTTTCTAGATTATATAGTTAGAAAGTAAGGCAGACATCTATCATTTTTCTCATGAGTGATCATTTCAAAAATAAGCATGAGTTGTAGGTCTGTTTGGAGAAGATAGCATGTCCCTTCTCTTTGTTTGTTTTTTTCTCAAAACATAATTAGAATTTAAATTTGTCGTAAAGAAAAAGATGGCTCAGGAAGGTTGATTATACAATGCAAACAGAGGCCCTCTGTTCTCTAAAATAATGTATAGGTATCACACCTTCCATCCCAAGCAATGCCTACTCACCTAGCATCTAACAGTTTGGGGTCCAGTGGTGGATACATAGATCGAACCACATCATCTACCCTATGAGGAAAACAAAGATGGCTAGTTGTAATTAAACAATGTATACATCAAGGAAGTGAAATAAAAACTGCTATGCATCTGTCTGTCTATCTATCCATCCACTTATCCCTTCTCTTCTCTGCCTGTCCAGTATAAGTGGAATGGCAGGGGAGCAGCACAGCTTGCTCCCTTCTGCTTCTGTTGAATTTACGAAATATTCCTCAGCATGTCTTTCTTGCATTCCGTATATTAGCTTAGTGTGACAAAGTGCACCAAAGATTGTTATCCTACTGTTAGTGAGGACATACATTACCAGGATCACCTTTGCGTACTTTCATATAGAGGGTAGACCTTATGTCTCAGGCAAATGTTGTTAAGGTTAAGCTGATAAAATTAAGGTGTTGTAAAGTTCCTAGCCAGACAATCAGTTTTTGTAGAACACAATAAAGTAGTCAACCTGAATCCTTCATATGTGGATCTAGTTGCTTGCACCTGACACAGAGAGATAGAAAGATAAATATCTCTCTGCATCTTAAACCCATAGAAACATGGGGTAGGAAAGGATCTTGGGTGGGTCACCTAGTCCAACCCCCTTGCCCAAGGCAGGATCCTCAAGCAGGAAAAATGATTGCCCAATCTTCCCGAAAACCTCCAGCAATGGAGCACCTGCAACTCCGAGAGATAAACTATTCCAATTGATTAATTTTCTGGCAGAAAATTCTTCCTTAATTCCAGGTTGGATCACCTTCTAACAAGCTTCCATCCAATGCTTTGCCTCAGGTGCTGTGAAATATAAACTATCCTGCCCTCAGGTACTATGGAGAATAAACTGACTCTTTCTTCCTTGTGACAGCTCTTCAAGTATTGGGAGATGGCTATTACATCACCCTTAAACCTTCTCTTCGTTAGGCTAAACATACTTAGTTTCTCTAGCCATTCACTGTATGATTTAGGCCTCAGACCCCTTATCATCTTTGGTTACTCTTCTCTATACTGTTTCTGGGGTCTTAACATCATTTTTGTATTGTGGCGAGTAGAATTAGGCATAGTATTCATGTGTGGCCTCATCTCTGCAGTATAGTGTAGTACTATCACTTCCTGTGATCGTGATGCTTTTCCTCTGTTGATGCAGTCAGACGGCATTGGCCGTTTTGGAACCTTCAGCACATTCCTGGCTCTTACTTAAGCAATGGTCCATCAGGACACTTTCTCAAGTACTACTGTTGAGTTAGGTCCCATCTATACTATTCTCTGTGTATTTGGTTTTTCCTGCCTAAGTGCACGACCTTACTTTTCTCACCAATGAATTGCAACTTGTTGGATAGGGACCAATGTTGGATAGGGACCAATGCTCAAAGTCTGTCAAGATCCTTCTGAATCTTGAGTCTGTGTTCCGAGATGTTAACATCTCCCCCACCCAGGTTTGTGTCATCCACCCTTTTAATTCTGTCCCCAAGGTAATTTATGATGCTTGAGAGCACTGTACCCAAGACAGAACATTGAGGTATCCTGCTGCATTTCCTTCTTCTTATACTCCTGTGATATACCCAGATACATTTGGCATCTTGAACAGAATTCCAGCCCAGTTTTCCCTTCTCTAAAACCTTCCTCTTCTATCCTGCAAATCCAAGGGCATTAAAAACAGAGAGGGCAAAGAACAATGAGGGCAACTGGAAGAATGCCCATCCCCAAAGTATGACCAGTTGAAACAGTCCTTTTCACAAAGAAGTAAATTGTTTAAACAATCCCATAATAATGTTCTGTACATCCTCCCTTCTATTTATTCATTTGGTTTCTATCCCACCTTTTGTTCAGGCTACAATGGACCTTTTTTTCCCAAACCACTCCAGAGTCCTGTTCCCCATAAGTTCTCTATAACTCGCACCTTGGGCTGATTCGTTTGGCTACCACAATAATGTCATTCAGGCTTGCTGGGTACTTCATTTGAGCTCCTGACCCCATTGTCATGGCAACAAGCTTCTCAGTGAGAGTGTGGCAGATCTGTTCAGAAAGTAAGATAAATGAGTGTTACATAGGAGTATGCTACTTAATTGTACTTGACTTACATGTGCTTCCATGCACCTTCTCTCTTCACATTATGATTTTTGAAGAAAAAAAAAAGAAATGTACCTTTAGGATAGCAATGCAGTGAGATACCAGGCCCCTAAGGAAAAAGATAAATAGCAGCAAATTAGAGAAGCATTTCACCAAAAGTCTTTGGACTCTTCCATGATTTTCTGGTCTTCAGTTTTCAGGCCTTCATTCAGACACAAGATCTTCTATTTCTGAGCAGGACATTTTGTTCTCAGCTCACTTGACTAATTTGACTCTTGTCATCCAAAGTTGTTGACAAGTTTCCCTTCAAGAACTGATTAACCAATGCACATTCTGCAGCCAGTGATTTGAAGAGTGAAAAGAAACTGGCATGAAGCATAGATTTTTTTTGTCTCCTATAAGAATGCATTGATTACCTTGGTGGTATAGAGGCACAGTGGTTAGAATGCAGTAGTGCAGGCTAATTCTGCTGACTTCCAATGGCCAGCAGTTCAGCAGTTTATCACCAGTTCAAAGTTGACTCAGCCTTCCATCTTTCTGAGGTTGCTAAAATGAAAACCCAGATTGTTGGGGGGGGCAACATGTTGAATCTGTAAACTGCTTAGAGAGGACTGTAAAGCACTGTTAAGTGCATATAAATCTAAAATACTATTGGTATTATACACATGTAAAATCCACCTTGTTAACTTTGGAATGAATTGGGCCAGTCACAGCCAATTTTCTCCTTTCTCACTCAGCTCGACACACTTTGGAGGGAGGAGGGAGCTTTGGAATGTCAAACCAGACATCAACAACTCCTATCTCGTGTGAACCAAGGTCAACGCTGCAGATACTGGCCAGAGATTGGAAAGAGATACCAGAACATCTAACTACTAAGGAGATGCTAGAACACCTAATTGGAAAACGTGACCTGTGACAAAGAGGGAGGGGGCTGCCTAATTTTTAATTGTATTGAAAGCATAGGAAATAGCCAGAGCTGGTTTTAAGATCATCCGTACTGAAATGATGTACTCAATAAAGCCGTTCTCTGAGGAAACTGAAAGTCTTGGAGTGCTGACTCATTTGGGTTTGTAAGTCGGAACCTTGATACATATATGTTAAGGCGCAAAGATATTACCTATTTTTTTTTTAACAGTAATGAAATTCATACCAATATTTTACACAAATAAGTAATGTTAGAATTAGGTTTGTCTAGTCTTACCTCCAAATCACTCTTTTGTTATTTCATTTAAATTAATATTTCAAATATAAGATGCATTGGAAGTACAGGGCCTGCAATTGTCAGCATTCTCAGTCAAAGGAAAGGGGTATCAGATGAGATAAGACCATGCAAAATGTTAGCATGGAAGGACAGAGATAGCAACTACTAATGGATTTTGAGGGGAAGCAAAAAAACAACCTATGTGGCAGACGTAATTAAAAAACAGAATCTGCCAGGAAGGGCCTAGTTCTAGTATGGAGGCAAAATGCATGTTTAATGGTGGTCAAAATTGAGAGAAAAATTATAAGTTACTCTTTTATAATGGAATTTATATAGTTAGACTAGAAGATTCTCTTTTGCTCTTTCTGATGCTTTTCTATTAGCTTTTTCTTTTTCTGCATAAAACCCACACCCTATAACCTAAAATATGTTCAGTCACAAGTACATGATACATTATTATAATCTTCTTGAAGAACGGGAAGATCTGTCCAGGCTAGGCAACAAGGGAATATCCTCCCAAGGTAAAGCCCAGCAGCTCAGCAGTAAAACCAAGATAAGACACTGAAACACTGAAAACAATGCCTTGCTGACTCTCAGACTTATAGTTTATCTCATTTTAGAATATAGAGAATAAGGTGTGTATGGGGAGGGCCTCTTAGGTGTGGCGTGTTCTGTGCAGGAGTATAAAATGTATTGCTTGAGTATAGAAGTTTGCTCTTCTTGGACCCCAATTCACTTTGGAAGGAACTAGAAGGCCGGTTTGCAAATGCTTATTTTCTTTAATAAACCTTTGAATTGTGAACCAGACTTGTTCCTGTGTTGTGAGTATTGAATAATTTGGTTCTTACACCTCAGATAATGAAAGGAAAGTATTAAGTTTTTAGCTGAATGCTAAAAACAAAGATTGTTGGATAACGGTATTTTCAAAAGCTAACTCCTATGCAGTTTCTTCTCCCCACTAATATTGCTTTAAAAATGGGTGAAAAAGTGTGAGTTCGGTTCAGCTATATTTGTCAAATACTTGATTATTAATCCTTTTCAATGTAATACTTCTGTACTAAACATTTAAAGAGAAGAATTTGAAGAGATTTTTGGACTTTATTCTCTGGTCCCATTTTGTCCCAAATTGTATGCAGCAGAAGAAAAACAATCCCTTCCAGATTATGCTGCCTGGAAGGCATTGCTGCCCAACTTACGAAGCATCATCAATCCAGTCCTCATTTGCCAGGATTGCTTCAATATGTGGGTTGGTTATTACCACATCATCCATCTCCAATTCAGAGGGTTCAGACTGTGTCTCCATCGTGCCAATTAGGTCAACAATAGGCCTCGGAGGAAGCACAAAAGAAATCTAAGGCATTGTGTGTATCAAAACACCCCAAATTAAACTTACTTTGGACCAATAAATTCAGCATGTTTTGAGATCAAAATTGACTCATAAAACTCTTAATTGACTGTTATTTATTACTAACAAAAGTCATAGATTAGACATTCCCATTTTGGAATCCTTCACATATATTGTGCCTTCAGTGCCTCGACTCCTTAATTTTGGTGATCCTGGTTTCAAAATCTGGAAATTGTTGTCCCAAAACATCCCAGGAGAGTGAATGAATTACTAGAATCCACAGTTGAAAAATAATCTCACCTGGTATCATAATGATTCAAAAAGTCCTTGAGTCGGCAGTAACGTTGCCTACATACCACAACCAGAGCCACAAAAGAAGCCAGGAAGATGGTTGCCAATACCCCAATGGCTACAATCACAACTGTCTCCATTGATGCTCCTGGTAACCTCAGGGAATGAATGGACAGTTCAACAGCAAGATGTCTTCAGAAACACTTCTACCTGAATTAAAACTGAATAAAATGAAGTCTTGCTGGTTAAATATACCAGGAATAATGAAATGTTTGGCTTTCAGAAGAATTCTGTGTCAAGCAATTTGAATATGTATTGAACAGAGTTCACAGTCTCTCCAAACAATAACACGGATCACACTACCTTTTTTTTCAAGCATTATAAAGTTGCTTTTTGAACAATAGGGATTTAAATTCTTGCTAATATGTTGAAATGTTGGGTGATCTACTCATATATCCAAATATCTATATTGTGCCCATCTTCACTTATTCTTGCTAGCATTTGTCAAATGATCCATTCCCTTCTTTGACTAGCTTTATGATTAAATGAAGTATTATATACCTTTGTCAGATTTTTTTCAAGAATATTTGGTAATATTAATTAATGTAGTATGCAATCTTCCTTAAGTATGTGCTTAGCAAAATGAAATCATGGTTCATCTGATCCATCATGTTTTACAGTTAAAATGTCTTTCCAATGAAATAATTATTTGGCAGATTGCAATCTAATATTTTCTTTCTGCATTGCTTTTTTCATTTAGGGCACTTTTGCCCAATCTCATTGTGTCAGTTTAGAATATGTTCCAAAGCCAAGCATTCTTGCAGTTTACCCACTGTGTCACTTGTGTTTGAGAGCTGAGCCTTTTCCCTCCTTGGTTCTATGATAGTTTTTCTGAAATTGTTTTTTTTCCTATTGGTTTGTTTTTCTTGCTTTAACTCACCTCTTGCTTCTGAATTTCAATATCCTACCCTTATGTCAGTCAGCTAGCCAGGTTTAAAAACCGTAACACTTTTAAAAACAATTATTTCCTTCTGTGCTGTCCAGACAGTTTAGAGTTAATGGGATTTGGGATAGTTAGTTAGGAATTGAGAGCTGTCCCCTTGAGGGAATGCATCATGGTAAATGTAGTTAAGGTATCCTGGGACATCTAGTTCATGTCATGTGGCCACATCTATAACCCTGATTGGTCACTGAATTGACCTTGGTGGGTTGGGGGAGGTTTCTTCTCTCTTGCCTGAACACAGCCTCATGGTAGCATCTCTACCCCCTACTTCTACAATATGGGATGAAAGAGATAACCACCTTTTTACCCATAAAGACAGATATGCAAAGGATTGGACATTAAAAAGAATCTCATCATAACTGTAGTTATTGGGGATGCCTGATGAACCAATAAAAAAGACTTTGTATGGATGCTTTGTGGAGTTTATCTATCTGTCTTTGTACAGGACAGAATAGTAAAAAGATGGTTATCTCTTCCCTTTCATCCCATATCTTAGAAGCAGGGGGTAGAGCTGCTAACATGAGGCTGTGTGTTCAGGCAAGAAAGTTGCAGATGAGTACTAATTGACTGTAGTATTCTTTTTTCACCATTTGAAAGTTAGTAAAAGTAAATATGAACACCTGTTAGCTTTAAAGTGCTGGAATAGTTAAGAAGCAGCTTATCAGTAGGTATATGGGGAACAAACGAATTGCCCCCAAACTGATGGGATAACTTGGTATGATAAAATTCATGACTGGAATGTACTGATGGAAGGATATAAATTGTTCGAAAGAATCAGACCTAACAAAAGAGGAGGTGAAATTGCATTATATGTAATCTCTACAGAAATGCATAAACCACGGATGAAACCTCCTAGAATGCATATGGGTCAATATAAAAGAAAAAAAAAGATAACATTGTCATATACTACAAGCCATCCAATCAAACAGAAGACATATATGAACTGTTTGCTAATGAGTTAACAAATGTATGTGAGAAACACAGCACAGTAGTAATAGAAGACATTAGCTACTTCGATATTAAGTGGGAGACAAATTCTACATCAAGTAGGAGATCAATCCGATTTCTGACTATCCTAGCTGACAACTTTTCATATAAAAGGTAGAGGAAGGGACCAGAGGGATGGATATACTGGGCCTAATTCTTACTAACAGAGAAGAAATGATAGAAGGGGTTGAACTGTAAGAATTTTGGGGGAGAGTGACCAGGCCATATTACAATTCAATAACATGCAGACACAAGCAATAGTACATAATCAAACCAATGTCTTAGACTTTAAAAGAGCTGATTTCAACAAATTTAAAGAGAACTTGGGAAGGATACCATGGATGAAAACCTTAAAGGGGAAAACAACTCAAGAAGCTTTGGAAACTGAAAAATATGATTAAAAAGCTGAATCCAGGATAAAAATGGCACCTCAACAATGGAGCATCTAAATACATCTTTGGTTCCATGGAAGCCACAGACAATCAGATCTTGAGGGCCATTTGGAATAACAAAAGGTATGGAACTGATCTAATTTAGAGGAGAAGAATTTTCCATAAGTGGGTATCATAGCAGAAAAGGTATGCAAAAAAGAGCAAAAAAAAAAAGAGCAATAAAGATGATTATGGAGCTGGAGGCTAAAACATATAAAGAATGATTGCCGGATTGGGTATATGTAGTCTAGTGAAAAGAAGGACTAGGGTGACATGATAGCAGTGTTCCAATATTTGAGAGGCTGACACAAAGAAGGGATCAACCTATTTTCCAAAGTACCACAAGGCAAGAAAAGAAGCAATGAATGGATATTAATCAAGGAAAGCAGAACTTAAAACTGAGGAAAAATAAAGAACAATAAACCAGTGGGATGGCTTGCCTTCAGAAGTTGTGGGTACTCCATCACTGGAGGATTTTAAAAAGAGATTGGGCAGCCATTTGTCTGAAATGGTACAGGATCTTCTGCATGAGCAGAGGATTGGACTAGAAGACCTTCAAGTTCCTTCAAACACTGTTCTTTTGTTATCTGTTTTGTTAACTGTCCTATCCTTTGAGCAATGTCTATGGAGATTCTCAGTCATCAAGGTCATGGTTGTCCCATGATAGTGGATTCAAAGGATGTCCCAAAGGTGCTTTTTCAAGAGGCATCTAGACTTTCTGGTTTTTTTTTGAAGACATTTTGCTTCTCAACCAAGAAGCTCTGACTGGATGGTGGGGAATGGACGAATTTATACTCCTTTCAGACAGCTGGTTATTTATAATAATAAATATATAACAAATACAATGAAGATTCCTATAGACAAAAATAGCTGCTGCGCCATGGGTTTACTGTTCCCCCCCTTGTAGCCGATCTCTACATGGAAAAAGTAGAAGTCAAAGCCCTAGACTCCTTCACAGGAATTCCACCCCATTCACTGGTATAGGCATGTGGATGATACTTAGGTCAAGATCAAAACACAGGAATTGGAAGCATTCCTCAAACATATCAACTCTGTGGACTGATATATCAAATTCACAGGGGAAAATGTTAAGGGAAATAGTCTATCTGGCCTGAACTGTGCAGCACACATTAAGGAAGACAGAAGCCTTGACATTGAAGTTTACAGAACACCCCCACCCCATCCCACCCCCCACAGATCAGTATTTATATGTTGATTCTCACTACCCACTGGAGCACAAAATGGGAGTCATCAGAATCCTATACCAGAAAAAGAACTAAAAGTACATCAAGGGAGCCCTCAGAACATGTAACTATTCCATGTGAGGAGA